ATCTTATCCATCCTTGTATGCCCGCACATCCACCTCAACATCCTCATCTCTGCTACTTTCATCCTCATAAGTTTATGTCTTGAAACTGGTCGATTATATTTGTTCTCTTATATATTTTGATCTGACTATAAGCTTCTGCCGATATATATGGTGACTCAGACTGACTTATGTGTGCATGTGTTTACAGCTCCAGTACTGCAATGAAGTGGGAAAGAAACTAAAAGCTAGTGGTATTCGGGTCGAGGTCTGCAGTGGCGAACGCCTACCAAAACTCATTAGGAATGCAGAGAAGCAGAAGATACCATTGATGGCTGTAGTTGGGCCCAAAGAGGTAGAAACACAAACTGTAACTGTTAGATCTAGGTTTGCTGGGGAGTTGGGGAACATGTCCATTGATGAATTTATCAGTAGAACAAAGAATGCAAGTGAAAACCGGACATTCTTATGATCAGGATTCAGGAGCATGGTATTTAAAACGTTTGGGAGTGGCTCTCCTAAATTATAAGTCATTCTTGTATGATTTAAACATAGTTTTGAACCACAGAGCAATAGAGAGAGGAAAATAAAGGAATACAGGAATTCTACTTTCTACTTGAATCTTTTATTTTGTATTTCCTTCTTTTCAACTTATATCCCTACTGTTTTAAGCAGGTCATGACATTTATGTGACAATAAAAGCATGTCACATAAAAATAGCCTCTTACAGAAATACAGGGTATAGCGGCATACAGTAGACCCTTGTGGTCCGGCTCTTCCCCAGATCCCGCGCATAGAGGGAGCTTAGTGAACTGGGCAGTCTGGGCTGCCCTTTTTATATATAGCAAATTGAAAATTTTAAAGTTAAATTATTTCCAAATACAAGGTGTCATTCTTCTACTCATATATATTCAATTTTAACTAGCTAATTTTCTCTAGAAAAATATATTTAATTATTCAAACACAATTTCAACTATCACAAACTTTTTTCTCACTTCAACTTTAAAGTTTGAAATTTCTATCAACTTACTGAAGAAGAACTTGCCCCCCCATGTTGAGTTGGGGTATCTTTAGTGATAAATAAACTATTTCTACTTTAGTTGACCTCTCCAAAATCTCATAAAAAATGGGTTTGTTGAGATCTACAGTTACCAGTCTTAACAGCTCACTGTCTCTTTTGTTTTACTATCATTGTTTACACGTGAATTAATTAGATTAATTGGAGGCCATGTGATTCCAGTTGTAAGATTTTAAAGAAGTGGATGGTTGTGTGTACTCCCTCAAATTATTGTCTTGGTTTCTAAAAATAATTATCTTAAATTATTTGTCATTTTAAAAATTAAAGAATAAATAAATTATTTTTTTCTATACTATCCTTAATATTAATTGTTCTTGAAAACTAAGGGTAAAATAGTTTTAAAATAAATTCTATTTAATATTTTTTAAAGAGAAATATGACGGATAATTTGAGACGGAGGGAGTATTATTTTTCAGTTTCCCTGTCTCTCTCGTCACTCACATAGTCGCATAGTAGAGAAGCTGTATTAAAGTATGTTTTTTAAGATTTTGTCCTTCTCTCAAGCTATTAAAGAGGTCGGACATAAAATTAATGTCACCTAAGAGATTAACATTAAAAAATCCTGGGGATTGTAATCAGGCAATTTAATCAAGAAAAGACTAAAGATAAATTCAGAAAGGTTGTTTTGGGCCACTAAGTTTTCTGCATTCGGATTTGTTTCCACTGAATCTAATGCAATAAACACTTTGATCCCTACTTTTGTGTTTTAGAAGTAAAGTTCGATTTGTCACTCGACCTTGTGATTTTTTTTTTTCCTAATATTGCATTTGAGTGTCTTCTTTGACATGTGGGATTGTTATGAATATGATTCCTCCTAAGTCCTAATATTGGTGAAGTAGGGTAGGAAGTTTTTGGACATTGTATCCGATTGAGATGTGATACTCCCTCCGTATAAAGTAGAAAGACAGAAATATGAAATACGAGAATCAAACTGTCTAATTTCCGTATTATCTTATGTTTATTTCTTTAGTTCTGTCCGGAAAAAGATAGATATCCAGAAACTACAAAAAGTAACGTATACTTTACATTAGAGTAGACTACAAAAAGTAACGTATACTTAGACTGCCTACATCGCATACTCTTCCATGGATCCTACGTGAACACCCAAAGAGACTCTTCCATGGATCCTACGTGAACACGAAATAAAGAAAGCTGAACTGAAGAAAGCTGAACTGGCAGCACTTTGGAAAAGAATCCACAATGATAAAACTAAAGAATAGAGAAAGATTGAGAAAGAATATAAAGTATCAGAAATGAAAATGATACATGAATGTATACAAAAATATTGTAACTAATAACCAATACTAAATCACGAATGGAGCATAACAAAACCAATAAGAAACAGATGTACCATTTTCAACATAATTTAACAAAATTCCCCCATAAGATCATTTTCCTTACAATAACATCAAGAATCCACCAGCAATTGCCAAAACCAAATGATTCAATATACCCCAGCTCATCATCCTGTGAGAAGCCGATGGCGATGAAGAATCTGGAGAGGCTGCAGCTCTAGCTTTTCCTGTTTGATCAGCAGCTGGACTATCAGCAGTAGGGGCGATATCTGTTTCTGGCGCTGGTGCTGGTGCTGGTGCTGGCATTGGAGGTAAATCTGTTCCGAAAATGGCTTCAGGAAGAAGTACCTTGTCCACCTGATAAACAGCAACCGGAAAAGTGGCCCGAACAGCGCTACTAACTTTAGTTCTAGACCATCCTGAGTTAAGGTGAACGGTCCCTGAATCATCGGTGAAATTCAAGGAATATAAATTTCCTCCAGCAAAGGTATTAATAGGGCTCATGTCACTAAGGTTCTTGAAGTCAGCTAGACTGTAGTAATGTGGCAATGCATGGAAAAGGCAAAGGGATTTGAGTTGATCTGAGGTGAGGTTGGAAAGGGAAGGCTTCTTGAGTGAAGCAAAGGCGGAGTCTTTGGGAACAAAGAGTGTGATCCCTTCTTCTGTGTCATTGGCTTGGCTTTGGAATGTATCGATGACTTTTGTCGATTCAAGGTAGTTAAGGAATGTGTGGAAAGGGCCAGCAACAGAGAGCAAGTCTGTTAGGTTTGTGTATTCGGGGCCTGGTGCTGGTGCTGGAGCTAGGCTCGGAGATCCAATTATAGCTTTGCCTTTCCCGGCTACAGTTGACAATTGAAGGACTAAAAGTAAACTACAGACAATGAAAACAATAGAGTAGCTCATTTTTCTCTTAGTGCTGATATACACTGACCCCTACAAATTCAAGATCCATGATTAGAACACCAAAATCAGAGCAAATGGGCACAAAGTTAGCATCTTTAGTTAAAACTAAACCAAACTGGACCGATCCAAGTGAATTGCTGCTCACATTTAAGCTCATTTTTCATTTGAGATCACAAGAATATGTTATCTAGACAGGGGCGGATCTAGAGTTTGACATACAAGTTCACAAGAACCTAGTAGCTTTTGCATAGACTCTGTCTATATATTCCGAAGTTCACTAAATAACAACAAAATATTTGACCGTGAATCCAATTATTATTATAAATTTATTTAAATTCAATGCAAGAGCCCATAAGCTTCAAATCATGTATTCGCCTATGTATCTAGACACCCTTTTACTTAGATCTCAGCATTTCCACTTCAGAATTTCCTAAAAGCGTACGTTTTATCTACCCTTTTGGATGGATGGTGTGGTGCATTTTCACACTTACATTACAAAATCATACTAAAATTTTCTCGAAAAACTTGAGCATAAAATGATCACTAATTAGTAAAATCATAACTCATCAACTCAAGAACTAAATCAATAAATAATTGAATTCAACATAAAGTAGTAAGTACATACAGGTAACATGCAGTAAAAGACAAAGATAAAACCAGATATAACAGTAAAAACACCATTTAAAGCAAACTTCCAGATGTTACAATGTCAGTATATCAGCTTTAGATATCTTTGATGAAAACAATGCAGTACATCAACCTGACTAAACATGAACACAGATCCAGATCCAGTCATTCCGCCCCCCCACCCCACCCCACCCAAAACCCAACAAACTCCCACCACCCTTTTACACAAACATAGAAAAAGGACAAGTAAAATGCTTCAAAATAATGCAAATGTTAAGAAAAACAGAGAATTATGAGAAAGAAAATGCAAGGATTAAAAGGGTGATTATGAAAGAAAAATACCTGAACTGAGCAGCTCAGAGAGAGAAAGGGTTTGAGAGCAAAAGGGTATGAAGTTTGGTATACAAAGAGAGTATTTAAAGAAAGAGGAGTGTAAATTTTACAAGTTTTGCGCTGGCATCTGGTCCAAGGGAAAAGGGATTTTGCTTACGTATATGATTACTATGGGCTTTCTTTGTCCTTATTATTTTATATTCATATATGTTAATTTGTCTTTTGAGTGGAAATAACTTTGACGACAAGACTTTAAAGCAAAGAGTTGCTGTGCGTTGTTGGCCTTTCAATGTCGCACTTGTATTTCATCTCTAATTGTTTTCTTTATAATGTTTCCATGTTTATTCTTGTGTCTATAAATTTGTTATCTGCCTAAAATGTATAGTCTTAAACAATCATGTTATTTTTATAAGGGAGTTAATTGTATAGTCTTAAACATCCATGTCATTTCTATAGTACAGTGTCATTGAGGTTAGTACTGAGCATAATTTGGTAAATACCGAATTACCGTACTGAAATCAAAAATTTTGGTATTTGGTATACGGTATTTTGGTAGCTGGTATGGTATTTGGTTTAAGTTTTTAAAAAAATTAGTATTAGGTATAGTATTTGGTATTTTGAGATAAAATACCGAAATACCGATACCATACCGAAATATATATTATATTACACAAAACACATATTATCGGTGAAATTTTAATATAAAAAATCTAAAATTTTACTTTTCTTTATTCTCAAAGTTCATCAATTAACTCTAAACAAGTAACAAGATATTTCTAATGATCAAATATTCTTTTATGTACAATTTTCTATATTTGGGTCGATATTTGTTAGTTTTGGACAAAATATTTGTCAACAAACATTTTCAGTTTTGTATTTTTGAGTACTTTAATTAAGAGTATTAGAGTGTATGGCTATATGCACTAGTTAGTATTCAAACCGAATAAACCGAAGTTACCGAACCGAATAAACCAAAACCGAAAGGAGAAAAACCGAACCATACCGAATTTAATTAGGTACGGTATTGGTGTAGGATTTTAAGAAACCGAATACCGAAAATACCGAACCGAAATATCTAAATACTGTACCGTAATGACCGACGAATACCCCTAATTGAGGTTAAAGCTAAAATATTATGGCCTAGTGATCAATGAAATAGGTGAAAAACATGAGGTCTCGGGTTTAAATCACAGCCAGTGGCGGATCTAGAATTTAAAATAATGGGTGCTTGGCGATAAAGACTTCAAAAGAAAAGGAAAATGAATTTACTTTGGGTGCTCACTCAATATTTATCTAAATATTTGTACAATTGCCTATGTGAATTTACTAAATGTGGTCAAAGTTAATGGGTGCTTAAGCACCCACAAGTGCCCATGTGCATCCAC